GTGGTTGAATATGGTGGGTGTGTGAGTGAGTGGGTGAGTGGGTGGGTAAGTGAGTGGGTAAGTGAATGGGTGGGTGAGTGAATGGGTGGGTGAGTGATTGGGTGAGTGAGTGGGTGCGTGAGTGAATGGGTGGGTAAGTAGGTGGGTGAGTGGGTGGGTGAGTATGTGGGTGAGTGGGTGAGTAAATGGGTGGGTGAGTAGGTGAGTGAGTGAGTGAGTAGGTGAGTGAGTGGGTGAGTGAATGGGTGGGTGAGTAGGTGAGTGAGTGGGTGGGTGAGTAGGTAGGTGAGTGGGTGACTGAATGGGTGGATGAGTAGGTGAGTGAGTGAGTGGGTGAGTGAGTGGGTGAATGAGTGAGTGGGTGAGTGAGTGAGTGGGTGAGTGAGTGGGGGAGTGAGTAGGTGAGTGAGTGAGTAGGTGAGTGAGTGGGTGAGTGAATGGGTGGGTAAGTAGGTAGGTGAGTGGGTGAGTGAATGGGTGGGTAGGTGAGTGAGTGGGTGAGTGAGTAGGGGAGTGAGTAGGTGAGTGAGTAGGTGAGTGAGTAGGTGAGTGAGTGAGTAGGTGAGTGAGTAGGTGAGTGAGTGGGCGAGTGAGTCGATTCCGACTCGAATGAAGAATCTGCTGCGGTGCGTAGGAAACATCGCCACTGGTGGCGACAAAGGCGGCCACAGTGGCGCCCTTAATAGGAGCTCGCTGACAGCGCTGGCCCTCCGGGCATCGCCTCCGCTGCGGATCGTTGAGCGCGCGAGCGAGGGTGTTAATTGACCCACGTGACTCCACATTGACGAGTCGATCCTAATCACCAGTCCATTAATGGCGTCACTAATTACTGAACCCTGCAGCGCTGAAGGCGAAGCGCCTCTACTCACCACCTCCACCCCCCTCCCCACGTGTTGGCCTACAGATGCCCGCGGCCGTCTTTGTGTCTCTCTCACGCTCCCCAGTGCTGTGATGTGGGGGGGGGGGGGTTATTTTTCTTTTTGTCCAGGGTACTTAGTTTAAGGCTGAGTCGACCTAGGGGGGGCAGGACCGTTTAGACACACACACAGACGCGCGTACACACACACAGACACACATACCCATACACACATACAGACTCACAGACACACATACACACACACAGACACACACACACACACACACATACAGACTCACATACAGACTCACAGACACACACACACATACAGACTCACAGACACACACACGTACAGAGTCACATACACACACATACCCATACACACATATACACACACATACACACACATACACACACACACATACACACACACACATACACACACACATACAGCATCACATACACATAGACACACAGACATACAGACTCACACACATACTTACGTACATACACATACAGACTCACAGACACACAGACACACACATACATACCGATACACTCACACACATTCCCACACATACAGACTCACACACACATACCCATGCACTCACACACAAACCTACACACACTCGCACACAAACCCACACACACCCACACACACACTCGCACACAAACCCACACACAAACCCACACACACTCGCACACAAACCCACACACACACCCACACACACTCGCACACAAACCCACACACAAACCCACACACACTCGCACACAAACCGACACACACACCCACACACACTCGCACACAAACCCACACCCACTCGCACACAAACCCACACACACGCACACACACACTCGCACACAAACCCACACACACTCGCACACAAACCCACACACACCCACACACACTCGCACACAAACCCACACACACACCCACACACACACCCACACACACTCGCACACAAACCCACACACACTCGCACACAAACCCACACACACACCCACACACACTCGCACACAAACCCACACACACACCCACACACACACCCACACACACTCGCACACAAACCCACACACACTCGCACACAAACCCACACACACACCCACACACGCACACACACACACTCGCACACAAACCCACACACAAACCCACACACAAACCCACACACACTCGCACACAAACCCACACACACACCCACACACACTCGCACACAAACCCACACACCCACCCATACAAACTCGCACACAAACCCACACACACACTCACACACACTCGCACACAAACACACACACTCGCACACAAACCCACACACACTCGCACACAAACCCACACACACACCCACACACACTCGCACACAAACCCACACACACACACTCGCACACAAACCCACACACACCCACACGGACGCACACGGACAATAATTCAATCGCCCACCCACTCTGACTGACGCACGCGCTTAGATCTGAACACAAACTGACGACTGGAGCGCACAGGGAAAGCTCCCCCGTGTAGCCTGTAACAGACTGTAGGGGCAAGTGCTGTTAGCGAGCACCTATGAAGGCCGGCACGGCACACGAGGAGGTGGGTGGCTAACACCACGCCCGGCCGCCTTTGTCTCCCCAGTGGCGATGTTTACATCGTACCAGGTACTCATTTAAGGCTGAGTCGACCTAGGGGAGGCCCGGGACCGGTTCCGATAATCGTCACTGGTGTTGGTCACCGTGAGCGGGAATCGAACTCGGGTCGCCAGGTTCGTAGCACAGCGCTAGCCGCTACACTACCACTCCCCACTCAGACACACACAGACTCACACACACTCATACACAACAACCGCCATTCGCCACTAGGTGACGTCACCGCGACGCTTGTGCCAGGCTATGTGCACCTTGAGGCCACGTGAAGTGTCGAACGCCCGCTGGTAGGAGGTCACGGGGCAGACCCAGGTGCCACAGGTCGACTGACTGAGATGACTAGCCGATGCACCACCTGTGCCCCCTACTGTGCCAACTTGCTGTGCTTTAGCTATCCGGCGCTCTGCTCGTTGTTGTGAGCGTCGCTCCCCGCCCTCCGTTGTTGTTGGAGGGCGACTGCCTTCAACTGCCCAGTAGCGTCTTTCACGAGCCTCCTCCACAGAGGCCGATCTTGACACCGCTGGTACCAGTCATCAGCAAGTCCACTCAGCTCCACATCCTCCTGTACCACATCACTCCATCTCTTCTCTAGCCCGTGCCGCGCCCGTTTAGCCCCCTCGATCCGGCTGAACAAAAGCTGTTTAGGCATGCGGTGGCTGGGCATGCGGGCTACATGACCCAGCCAACGCAGCCTTGCCTGCCGGAGGAGCTCACCGATGGGACTTTGTCCAGATTTTTCAAGGATTTATGAGCTCCTCCCACAATCCATCCTGGTTAAACCTAGGATGGATCGTAGGCAGGCCAGCCTAAATGTTTCTAACCAGCGAAGATGCTCCATTAGGGGGGGTCCATGTTTCGCAAGCATAGATAAGGGAAGGAATGACTGTAGCCGAGAAGACCTGAAGCTTCGTGCGGAGCGACAGACCAGGTAGCTTCCATACAGCGTCATGCAACCGATTAAAAGAAAATGCCGCTCGACTGATTCAGAGTGAGACCTCTGCTGTTAAACCGGAGCCGGTCATGAGCACACTGCCCAGGTAAGGGAAACTCTCCACTCTCTCCACAACTTCCCTATCACCAATTGGGAGTTGTGGGGGTGGAGTGTCCGATGGTACAAAATACCCAGGCAGGTGCTTAGCTTTGGTGGAGCTGATGGTAAAGGTCCCACCTCTTTGTGGCACGCTCCAGTCTCAGCAGCAGCGTCTCCAACTCCTCCTCTGAGTGAGCAGCTATTACCAAATCATCGGCATACATAACGTGGTTGACCAATAGGGAGCCATCCCTTGATCGCACCCGGGCATCGATCAGCCCCTCATTGTATCTGTACCAGATGGAAATTCCTCCGGTACAGCTATTGAAGGCTTCAGGAACTTCGTAGTCGAAATAGATGTTAAATAATGTGGGAGCCAGAGGACATCCCGGTCGGACCCCAAGGTGTACAGGGAATGGCTCCGACTCCTGGCAACGTAGTTTTACCCGGGCCCGCTCACCATCATGAAGTTCCTTAATGATCGTGAACAGAGGGTCAAGGACTCCGAAAGCACGAAGGGCAACCTAGAGGCCAGGCCGACTGATGGTGTCATAGGCCTTGACCAGGTCAATGAAACAGAGATGTATGTCTTGTTGGAATTCCCTACACATCTGTTATAGCAGACGGACAGAAAATATGGCATCTGTGCAGGACCACACACTCATACATACACACACACTCATACAGACACACTCATACACAGACACACACACACTCATACAGACAACAACAACCGCCATTCGCCACTAAGTGGCGGTGACGTCACCACGACGCTTGTGCCAGGTCAGATGCACCTTGAGGCCACGTGAAGTGTCGAACGCCCGCTGGCAGGTCACGGGGCAGACCCAAGTGCCACGGGTCGACTGACACACAACCACACACACCCACACTCACACACACACTCATATACACACTCGTACAAAGGTCCCCCGTGTAGCCTCCAACAGGCTGTTGGGGCAAGTGGCTGTTAGTAGCGAGCATCAGCAGCGCCTAAGGTGTAGTAGCTACACGTGTTGTAGCTGCACGTGTAGTAGCTACGAGCCCCACACATTCAAGGGCCCCGCGCTAAATGCTCTCAAGCTATCAATTCCGGTTTCAGTGATTCTGCACTTGCTCTACTACTATAGTACTATACCGCCTTCAACTTTTACGAACGACCGGGTGTTTAAGGTTGGCGATTCGTCATATGATCTGTCTACGTAGCAAATGCAATTATTTTACTATGCAGGTAAAAAAAAATGTGCGTGTTTTTAATATTCACGTTAATTTAGTTATTCAGGGCCCCTTTATAACATTGCTGCAGGCCCTGGCACTTCATCCGACACTGGAAAAAAAGGGTGTTCGTAAATGCAGTGGCGACGCTAACCGCAGCGCCACCGCTCCCCCCACCACATTCTGTCTCTCGCGCGCTCTCTCTCTACTCTCTCCCTCCGTCTCTCTATATCTCCTCCCACACTCTCTCTCTCTCTCTCCTCCCACACACTCTCTCCTTCTCTCTCTCTCACTGAAGCCTCAAATCCTTCCCGCATTCTGAATATCGCTGTGGTGGGTGATGGTGGTGATGATGATGGTGGTGCTGATGGTGATTTCAGTGTCTCTCAACGTGAGTCCGGCTCTCTCGCTCGCTCGCTCTCTGCGTGTACGATTCGTGTCCCTGTCACTCAATGCCTTGAGCCGTAATGAGGTGCCAACTGTTGATCCGCGACTGTAATAGTAGACGTGGTGTGTGTCTGTGTGTCTCTGTGTGTGTGTGTCTCTGTGTGTGTGTCTGTGTGTGTCTCTGTGTCTGTGTGTGTGTCTGTGTGTGTGTCTCTGTGTGTGGTGTCTCTGTGTGTGTGTCTGTGTATGTGTGTGTGTCTCTGTGTGTGTCTCTGTGTGTGTCTGTGTGAATGTCTGTGTGTGTGTCTCTGTGTGTGTCTGTGTGTCTCTGTGTGTGGTGTCTCTGTGTGTGTGTGTCTGTGTGTGTGTCTCTGTGTCTGTGTGTGTGTGTCTCTGTGTGTGTTTCTGTATGTGTCTCTGTGTCTGTGTGTGTGTCTGTGTGTGTGTCTCTGTGTGTGTGTCTCTGTGTGTGATGTCTGTGTGTGTTGTCTGTGTGTGTCTGTGTGTGTGTGTGTCTGTGTGTGTGTCTCTGTGTGTGTCTCTGTGTGTGTCTGTGTGTATGTCTGTGTGTGTGTCTCTGTGTGTGTCTGTGTGTGTCTCTGTGTGTGTGTGTCTGTGTGTGTGTCTGTGTGTGTGTCTCTGTGTGTGTCTCTGTGTGTGATGTCTGTGTGTGTTGTCTGTGTGTGTCTCTGTGTCTGTGTGTGTGTCTGTGTGTGTCTCTGTGTGTGTCTGTGTGAATGTCTGTGTGTGTGTCTCTGTGTGTGGTGTCTGTGTGTGTTGTCTGTGTGTGTGTGTCTCACACACACACTGTGTGTCTGTGTGTGTCTGTGTGTGTCTCTGTGTGTGTGTGTCTGTGCGTGTGTGTGCTTGTGTGTGCGTGTCTGTGTGTGTCTGTGTGTCTCTGTGTCTGTGTGTGTGTCTGTGTGTTTGTCTCCGTGTGTGGTGTCTCTGTGTGTGTGTGTCTGTGTGTGTCTCTGTGTGTGTGTCTGTGCGTGTATGTGCGTGTCTGTGTGTGTCTGTGCGTGTGTGTGCTTGTGTGTGCGTGTATCTGTGGGTGTCTGTGTGTGTGTCTCTGTGTGTGTCTCTGTGTGTGTCTCTGTGTGTCTGTGTGTGTCTGTGTGTCTCTGTGTCTGTGTGTGTGTCTGTGTGTTTGTCTCCGTGTGTGGTGTCTCTGTGTGTGTGTGTCTCTGTGTGGTGTCTATGTGTGTCTCTGTGTGTGTCTGCGTATAATTGTCTAGGTGGTGTGTTTGTGTGTGTGTCTGTGCGTGTGTGTGCTTGTGTGTGCGTATCTGTGCGTGTCTGTGTGTGTCTGTGCGTGTGTGTGCTTGTGTGTGCGTGTGTCTGTGTGTGTCTGCGTATACTTGTCTAGGTGGTGTGTCTGTGTGTGTGTCTGTGCGTGTGTGTGCTTGTGTGTGCTTGTCTGTGTGTGTCTGCGTGTTTGTCTGTGCGTGTGTGTGCTTGTATGTGCGTGTATCTGTGGGTGTCTGTGTGTGTGTCTGTGTGTGTCTGCGTATAATTGTCTAGGTGGTGTGTCTGTGTGTGTCTGTGTGTGTGTCTGTGCGTGTGTGTGCTTGTGTGTGCGTGTCTGTGTGTGTATCTGTGGGTCTCTGTGCGTGTGTCTCTGTGTGTGTGTCACTGTGTGTGGTGTCTCTGTGTGTGTGTCTGTGTGTTTGTGTGTGTGTCTCTGTGTGTGTATCTGTGTGTGTCTGTGTGTGTCTGTGTGTGTGTCTGTGTGTGTATCTGTGGGTGTGTCTGTGTAGGTGTATGTGTGTGTGTCTGTGTGTGTGTATGTGTGTGTGTGTCTTTGTGTCTTTGTGTGTGTGTCTCTGTGTGTGGTGTATATGTGTGTGTGTCTGTGTGTGTGTATGTGTGTGTGTCTCTGTGTGTGTGTCTCTGTGTGTGTGTTTAGGTGTGTGCCTCTGTGTGTGTGTCTCTGTGTGTGGTGTCTGTATGTGTGTCTGTGTGTGTGTATGTTTGTGTTGTGTGTCTGTGTGTCTGTGTGTGTGTCTCTGTGTGTGTCTGTGTGTGTCTGCGTATAATTGTCTAGGTGGTGTGTGTGTGTGTCTGTGCATGTGTGTGTGCGCGTGCGTGCTAGCGTACGTGCGTGCGTGTGTGCGTGTGTGTGTGTGTCTGTGTGTCTCTGTGTGTGTGACTCTGTGTGTGTGTCTCCGTGTGTGTGTCTCTGTGTGAGTGTCTCTGTGTATGTGTCTCTGTGTGTGGTGTCTCTGTGTGTGTGTCTGCGTATAAATGTCTAGGTGGTGTGTGTGTGTCTCTGTGTGTGTGTCTCTGTGTGTGTGTATGTGTGTGTGTATATATATATCTGTGTGTGTGTCTGTGAGTATCTGTGTGTCTGTCTCTGTGTGTGTGTCTCTGTGTGTGTGTCAATGTGTGTCTGTGTCTACCTATATCTGTCTATCTACGTGGTGTGTATATGTATATATCTCTTAATGTGATACGTGTGTGTGGGGAGCAGTAGTGTAGTGGTTAGCGCTACGCTGCTCCACAAAACCGGTGACCCGGGTTCGATTTCCGCTCACGGCCAACACCACCAGTGACGATTCTCTGAATCAAGCGTGGGCCTCCCCTCGGTCGACTCAGCCTCAAATGAGTGCCTGGTGCGGTGTCTAGTAAACATCGCCACGAGGGAGACAAAGGTGGCCGGGCGTGGTTCTAGCCACCCACTCCCTCGTGTGCTGTGCCGGCCTTAATGGGTGCTCGCTAACAGCTCTTGGCCAGACAGTCTGTGTGTGTAGTGGTAGGTGTGTGTGTAGTGGTAGGTGTGTGTAGTGGTAGGTATGTAGTAGTAGGTGTGTGTGTAGTGGTAGGGGTGTGTGTAGTGGTAGGGGTGTGTGTAGTGGTAGGTGTGTGTGTAGTGGTATGTGTGTATAGTGGTAGGTGTGTGTAGTGGTAGGTGTGTGTGTGTAGTGGTAGGTGTGTGTGTAGTGGTAGGTGTGTGTAGTGGTAGGTGTGTAGTGGTAGGTGTGTAGTGGTAGGTGTGTGTGCAGTTGTAGGTGTGTAGTTTTAGGTGTGTGTGGAGTGGTAGGTGTGTGTATAGTGATAGGTGTATGTAGTGGTGTGTGTGTGTAGTGGTGTGTATAGTGGTAGGTGTGTGTGTAGTGGTAGTTGTGTATAGTGGTAGATGTGTGTGTAGTGGTAGGTGTGTGTAGTGGTAGGTGTGTGTATAGTGGTAGGTCTGTGTATAGTGGTAGGTGTGTGTGTAGTGGTAGGTGTGTGTAGGTGTGTGTGTCGTGGTAGGTGTATAGTGGCAGGTGTGTAGTGGTAGGTGGGTCTGTAGTGGTAGGTGTGTGTATAGTGGTAGGTGTGTGTAGGTGTGTGTGTAGTGTTGTGTGAAGTGGTAGGTGTGTGTGTAGTGGTGTGTGTAGTGGTAAGTGTGTAGTGGTAGGTGTGTGTGTAGTAGTAGGTGTGTGTGTGTAGTGGTAGGTGTGTGTGTAGTGTAGTGTAGTGGTAGGTGTGTGTGTGTAGTGGTAGGTGTGTGTAGTGGTATGTGTGTATAGTGGTAGGTGTATGTAGTGGTAGGTGTGTGTAGTGGTAGGTGTGTGTAGTGGTAGGTGTGTGTAGGTGTGTGTGTGTAGTGGTAGGTGTGTGTGTAGTGGTGTTTGTAGTGGTAGGTGTGTAGTGGTAGGTGTGTGTATAGTGGTAGGTGTGTGTAGGTGTGTGTGTAGTGTTGTGTGAAGTGGTAGGTGTGTGTGTAGTGGTGTGTGTAGTGGTAGGTGTGTAGTGGTAGGTGTGTGTGTAGTGGTAGGTGTGTGTAGTGGTAGGTGTGTGTGTAGTGTAGTGGTAGGTGTGTGTGTGTAGTGGTAGGTGTGTGTAGTGGTATGTGTGTATAGTGGTAGGTGTATGTAGTGGTAGGTGTGTGTAGTGGTAGGTGTGTGTAGTGGTAGGTGTGTGTAGGTGTGTGTGTAGTGGTGTGTGTAGTGGTAGGTGTGTAGTGGTAGGTGTGTGTGTAGTGGTAGGTGTGTGTGTAGTGGTAGGGGTGTGTGTAATGTAGTGGTAGGTGTGTGTGTAGTGGTAGGTGTGTGTAGTGGTAGGTGTGTGTAGTGGTAGGTGTGTGTAGTGGTGTGTGTAGTGGTAGGTGTGTAGTGGTAGGTGTGTGTGTAGTTGTAGGTGTGTGTGTGTAGTGGTAGGTGTGTGTGTAGTGTAGTGGTAGGTGTGTGTGTGTAGTGGTAGGTGTGTGTAGTGGTATGTGTGTATAGTGGTAGGTGTATGTAGTGGTAGGTGTGTGTAGTGGTAGGGGTGTGTGTAGTGTAGTGGTAGGTGTGTGTGTAGTGGTAGGTGTGTGTAGTGGTAGGTGTGTGTAGTGGTAGGTGTGTGTGTAGTGGTAGGTGTGTGTAGGTGTGTGTAGTGGTAGGTGTGTGTATAGTGGTAGGTGTGTGTAGTGGTAGGTGTGTGTATAGTGGTAGGTGTGTGTGAGTAGTGGTAGGTGTGTGTAGGTGTGTGTGTAGTGGTAGGTGTGTTTGTAGTGGTAGGTGTGTGTGTAGTGGTAGGTGTGTTTGTCGTGGTAGTTTTGTGTGTAGGTGTGTGTGTAGTGGTAGTTGTGTATAGTGGTAGATGTGTGTGTAGTGGTAGGTGTGTGTGTAGTGGTAGGTCTGTGTATAGTGGTAGGTGTGTGTGTAGTGGTAGGTGTGTGTAGGTGTGTGTGTCGTGGTAGGTGTGTAGTGGCAGGTGTATAGTGGTAGGTGTGTGTATAGTGGTAGGTGTGTGTAGAGTGGTAGGTGTGTGTGTAGTGGTAGGTGTGTGTGTAGTGGGGTGTGTAGTGGTAGGTGTGTGTGTAGTGGTGTGTGTAGTGATAGGTGTGTAGTGGTAGGTGTGTGTATAGTGGTAGGTGTGTGTAGGTGTGTGTGTAGTTGTGTGTGTAGTGGTAGGTGTGTGTGTAGTGGTGTGTGTAGTGGTGGCCGGGTGTGGTGCTGGCCACCCACCCCCTCATGTGCTACATTGTCGGTAGCTACTCGCTACTAACAGCCACTTGCCCCAACAGTCTGTTACAGGCTACACGGGGGATCTTTGTCTTTGTATGTGTGTATGTATGTATACGCGAGTGTGTATGTATGTGTGTGTCTATATGTGTATGTCTATACGTACAACGTACAGGTAGTCCTCGACTTACGATGGAGATGCGTTACGACGACCCCATCGTAAGTCAAAAATATCGTAAGTCGAAGATGGCCTAGCTTACCCAGGAGTCTTAAAGAATGGTGATAATTTAGCAAAACAGAGCAATTTACAGTACCGTACTGTATAAGCTATATACTGTATGTATTTATTAATTACAATACTGTATTGCACAGTAAAATATCAAGTAAAAACAAACAAGGTAAATTCTTAGCCTACCTATATGAACTGCAATTTAATAGCAAGTTTTTTTTCAGGAAACAATTCTATCTGCTATGAAAACGTTTAACATGCATTGAATGTATCGTATCGTGGTAACCCTAAAATGAAATCGCTAAAGCTACGTATCATACATGCGTTGCGTTTGCCTGCCGCGCGAAATTTAAACTATTTGACAATTTTGTCGTTTCGCTATCGCCATCGTAAGATCTAAATATCGTAATTAGGACCATCGCTACTCGGGGACTATCTGTACTTACGTAAGTGTGTATGTACTTTGAACTTCTTTGGCACCGTGCGTAGCAATTGATTATACGACGTGAACGATAGTCGACGATCCAGCCACACGCGTGCCTCAACACGCTCCACCACTCGACCGGGCATGGCCTAAAGTAATTACGCTAGATTTGATGTTTCAGGTCACCCACTCACTCATCCACTCACCCACCCAGTCACCCACTCACTCACCCAATCACTCATTCGCCTACGCACTCAACAACTCACACACCAAGTCACCCACCCACTTTTTCTCACCTATTCACCCACCCACTCATTCACTCATCCACTCAATCACTGATTCACCGACCCACTCACTAACCCACCACCCACTCACCCACTCACTCACTCACCCACCACTCACCTACTTACTCACCCACTCACTCACTAACTCACCCGCTTACTCACTCACACACCAACTCGTCCAATCACTCACCCACTCGCCAACTCACTCACCTACTCCTCCACTAATTCACTCAACCACCCTTACTCACTCACTCATGCACCACTCATCCACACATCCACTCACTCACCCATACACCCGATGACCCACCCATTCACTCACCCACTTACACTCTCTCACTCACTCACCCATTCACCTACTCACCCACCCACTCACCTACTTGCTCACCCACCCACTCATCCACTCCCCCACTCACTCACGCACTTACCCACCCACTCACTCATTCACCCACCCATCCACCCAATTACCCACCCTTTCACTCGCTCACCCACCCAATCAACGACTCACTCACCCACCCAATCAACGACTCATTCACCTACTAATCTACTTGCTCACCCACCCACTCACGCACTCACGTACTCACCCACTCACTCAGTCACCCACCAGTCACTCACTCACCCACGTATTCACTCAATCGCTCACCCACCCACCCACACACCCACCCACTCATTCAACCACGCACCCACCACTCACTCACTCACCCACCCACCCACCACTCACCCACCCACCCACCACTCACCCATCCATCCACCCACCCACCACTCACTCACCAAATTACCTACTCACTCTCCCACCCACTCACCCACCCACCACTCACTCACCCACTCAGCCACTCACTCACCTACTCACCCACCCACTAACTAAATTACTCATGCACACCCTCTCACACACATCTTAATCACTCACTCACCCACCCACCCACCCACCACTCACTCACCCAATTACCTACTCACTCTCTCACCCACTCACCCACCCGCCACTCACTCACCCACTAAGCCACTCACTCACCTACTCACCCACCCACTAACTAAATTACTCATGCACACCCTCTCACACACATCTCAATCACTCACTCACCCACCCACCCACCCACCACTCACTCACCCACCCCACCCACCCACTCACTTACTCACCCACCCATTCACCTACTCACCCACTTACCCACTTACCCACTCACGCATCCACCCACCCACTCACCCACTCATCCATTCACCCATTAGCTCTCTCACTCTCTCACTCAGTCAGTCACCCATTCACACACCCACTCACCGACTCACTCCCTTCCCAAATAATTCAGTCACCCATCCACTCATTCACTCACTCATTCACTCACTCATTCACTGGTTGAGTGATGAGGTGAGTTGTTGGGCGAGTGACTGCGCCAATCGGTGAGCGCTCATGCGCAACGTGACAATCCCATTTGTTGTGTGGCTGTGTCGGGTGGTGGAGGGGATCTCAGCACATAGATTTTCGGCCAGATCATTGCATTCCGTGGGCCTAACCCTAATGATGTAGATCTCTTGCGTCTCTCTCCTCTCTTTCTCTCTGTCTACATATCCAAAGTAAAATATAATCTACGCATCTGCTAATGAAGCCAGTGTCCAAAATAAATACATCTCTTCACGATATCATTTCCTGACAGAGCCATTAAACCGAAACACTTTGAATCCACGCGGGTTCAACCAGAAGAGCGACGGAAGTGGTGAGGAAGCAAGAAGAAGCGGAAGCGAATTTCGCAATCGACCGCTGGGTGGCCTCCATTTTGGATGTCTACTCTGCCGCCGTCGCCTTCTTCATCCTCTCAGCGGATTTAACGGTGGGGACGGGGGGGGAGAAGCACTGGAGAAGAGAGGAGTGCAGAACTCTCGCAATGGTTTTAGGCAGTGCCTAAGAGGAGCGGACGAGGACGGCAAGCGGAGGTGAAGCGGACGGGAAGCCGGAAAGGGAAGCGAATGGAATCGCAGAAAGGAAGATAGAAGTTGAGCGGAAGCAAGTTGAAGCGCAGTGGAGGAGAGGGGCGGCGGTGTGGGGGGGGGAGCAAAGCCAAAGGGAAGCACAGCAGAGCAGAGATTAGCGATGCAGAGCGAAGCGTCGAGAAGCAAGGTGGAGCAGACTGAAGCATCGAGGAGCACGGTGAAGCGAGCCGGAGCTTAACGAAAGCCGAGGTGGAGGTGGCGGGTTTCTGGAGGCGGCACCGAAAAGGCGACGCGGAATTTACATGAAGCGAAGCATCGGAAAGCGCCGAGAAGTGTTAGGGATCAAAGTGAAGCACAGAGAAGCACAGAGAAGCGTTGAGAAGTATACGGGTGTTAGACACCGCAGAGAAGGCTTAGGGAAGTGCTGGGAAGCATTGGAAAACAATCGGTCGCAACTAAAATCATTAAGGAAGCACACCGAAGCATAGCGGATTGGTACCAAGGGACACAAAGCACACAGAAAGCACCGAGGAAGCAACCGTGAAAGCAGCAGGGAGTTGAGTGAAGCAGGGATGCACATTTGTTGTCGGAAAACTCAGGAGAAGTGACGCACGAAGCACCAGGAAGGAAGCAGCAGGGAAGCAAGGCAAAGGGCCTCAAAGGTAACAGGGTTCAAGGAAAAAGTCCGCTTTGAACCAGGCGACAGGTGGGAACAAACAGCGAGGGCAGTTGGAACACGAGGACAAGAGGAAGGAGGAACGTGCTGTGATGGAACTAAAACACGTGTCTCTTTAACGAAAGGAGCAAATTGGAAACCAAGAGAATTTCTTTAACGAAAGGGGCAGTTGGAACAAAGGCAGTTTATTTAACAAAAGGGTCAGTTGGAACAAAAGGAGTTTCTATAACATAAGGGGCATTGGAACAAAGGCAGTTTATTTAACAAAAGGGGCATTGGAACAAAGGCAGTTTATTTAACAAAAGAGGCAGTTGGAATCAAGGCAGTTCATTTAACAAAAGAGGCAGTTGGAATCAAGGAAGTTTCTTTAACAAAAGGGGCATTGGAACAAAGGCAGTTTATTTAACAAAAGGGGCATTGGAACAAAGGCAGTTTATTTAACAAATAAGGCAGTTAGAATCAAGGCAGTTTCTTCAATGAAAGGGGCAGTTGGAACTTAGCCAGTTCGTTTAAGGGAAGAGGAAGTTGGAACAAAATCAATTTATTTAGCAAAAGGTGGCAGTTGGAAGAAAGCAGTTTTCTTTAACAAAAGGTGGCAGTTGGAACAAAGCGGTTTCTTAAACGAAAGAGACAGTTGGGAACAAAGGCAGTTTTTAAACGAAAGGGACAGTTGTAACGAAGCAGTTTTCTTTAACAAAAGGAGCAATTGGACAGGGGAAACCGTAGAACAAATAAACTGTTGCGAAGAAAAGGAATTTACTTGACAATGGACGGTTGAAACAAATGAGTATTTGGAGCAAGAGCGACAGTTGTAACAAGTCAATTGCTGGAACGAAACTAAAAATATTGAAGCAAGGGTAAACTGTTTGAACAATCTAGCTATCGGAACAAGCAAAACGAATTAACAGTTGGAACGATAGGAAACGCTTGGAACAAGGCACTAGTTCGTAGCAACTGTAAGAATATACCTGTTTGTGCACAGGAATAGATAAGGAAACAACGCGACAGTTTGGAACACGGCAACAGTTGGAACAAGTCAGCAGTTTGAACAAGGTGACTATTCGATGAGAACATTAATTTGGGGGGTTATACGAATCTTCTTCTGGGCTTTTTGTAGCTAAGGAATATTTGGCAGGAAGGTGTCGTTGGAAAAGACGTACAGCTGGAACATTCCAATAGTTTGGAACAAAGTCCGTTTTTGGAACAAGACAACTAACTGTTGGAACACGACGGCCGTTGGAATAAGACAGCCACACTCGTTGTATGAACACAAATATAGGATTTCGACCTTTGTGGGTCTCGTCAGCAAAGTCAGTATATTTTTATAAGCAAGTGAACTGTGGACCGGTTTTTGCACCTTTGCTGGTCTCATCAGTAGTTGCATCAGAGTCAGCCTCATATCGTTTGAGCAGGAGAGTGAACTGAACAACATTTATATGTGTATTCAACCTCTGCGGGTTTCCACCAGCAGCATCGCTCAGTTTTGTTTTAAGCACGCAAAGTCTGTGCCGGTTTAGAACCTTCGTGGGCCTCTCGTCAGCGGCACCAGAGCTGGTGACATCTCGTCCAAGCAGGCAAAAACGAGTAAACTCTGGAGCAGCGTCACCTTAAGTCGGAGCTCATCGGTGAAACCGTGCTCGACCGAGAGAAGCCTATAAACGGCTTCGACCTTCCGTGGGGGGTCTCATCATCACCGTCGTCTTAATTGTCAATCGAAGTCGGTCGGACCTCTTCCAAGCTCGCGGACTCCGTTCCCCTCTCGCGCCGCTCATCGTCGTCGTCGTCGTCGTCGTCATCAGCGTGGTGGAACCGTCACCGTGCTAAGCAATGGGCACCCTGCGCGACCTGCAGTACGCACTCCAGGCCAAGATCGAGGAGCTGAGGCAACGCGACCAGCTCATCGACGAGCTGGAGCTGGAGCTCGACCAAAAGGACGAGCTCATCCAGAAGCTGCGTAACGAGCTCGATAAGTACCGCTCGGTGCTGCTGAGACCCAGCGGGCTCCACCACCATCACCACCATCATCAGCACCAGCAGCAGCAGCATCAACACCCTCATCAGCAGCCTAATCAGCAGCAGCAGCAGCAGCCTCTGCAACATCAGCAGCAGCATGATTGTGAAATTCAAAGTGCAAATCAGCTTCACGATATTCATCAGCTTGATCAGCAGCAACAGCAGCAGCAGCAGCAGATGCTTCTGAAGGATTTGAAGTTGGCTTGTGTTGCTGCTGCTGATGATGATGACGTTGACATTGGCGGTTGTGGCGGCGGTGGTGGCATTATTGGTGACCTTGGTAACATTGGAGGTGGTAGTGGTGGCGGCGGCGGCGGCATTGTTGGTGGAGTGATGGGTGGGACACACGAGAGAGTCGGTGGAGGGAGTGGGGGAGTAGGACATGAGCCTCAGAGGAGCAAGAGGCAGGCCATCTCTGCCGAGCCCACGGCCATCAACGTCCAGGACATCGGAGGAGTCAAGCTGCCGTCGTTCCCCAAGAGCATTGAGTGAGTTTTGTGGTGGCGAGGGTGACGGTGAGTTGGGTGGGTGAGTGACGGCAGCTAGGAGATGTTAACTACATCGCCTGGTATGCAGGAGGTCGTGGGTTCGATCCCGACCATGACGCCTGCTGATATTTATTTGGAGTTTTCATGTTCTACCCGTGGTTGTGTGGATTTTGCTCTGGGTTTTTTTCCTGCCACATTAAGAAATACGCGTTTCGAGTTATTTGGTTGCTGCTTTACATTTTGACGAGTTGATAAGCCATGTCGTAGAGCTTTAACTTGTGATAGCCAGGTCGTTTCTGGCGATCCCGACACTGACGATGCCTGCTGCTGTATATTTGGATTCTGCGTTTCTCTCTCTCCCTGTGGTCACTTGGATTTTTATCCGGGTCCTCTGGTTTTCCCCTCCACATTTAGAATCAGAGAATGTATTCGGACTGGAGAAGGAATCCGATGAGCTATGAACATGATAGTCGTACAAGAACGTGAAAATCATCATGCGTTTTAGAGTATTTGACTGCTACAAATTTTCACTTGATAAGCTGTTTCATTGAGCTATCATTTGTGATTGCCAGATCGCTTCTGAAGAAGATTTCCATAGCTCAGTGGGCTTTCCCTAGTACAAGAAAAACATTGTTTAGTTGTAAATTGTTTAGTTTGAGTGAGTGAATGAGAGGGTGGGTGAGTTGATGGGTCAGTGGCTATTGTAGAGATTAGCGCGCTGCACTAACCAACCCAGCCGCTCATGGCCAATATCGGTTGACGAAAGTCTGAACCAGTTCTGGGCCATCCCTAGATCGACTCAGCCTCAAATGAGAACCTGGTGCAGTGTGTAAAAATTGCCACTAGGGAAACAAAAAGCAACCCAGGCGTGGTGCTGGCCACCCACCTCCTCGTGGTCTGTGCCCGCCTTCATAGGTGCTGCTAATCACCAAGAGCACTTGCCCCAACAGCCATTTAAACCTATAAGGGGGGAATCTTTGTTTTTTTGGTTATTTGGTGGGTGGCTTTGGATGGGTGCGAGGGGCTGTTAACCCTTAAACCTTTAAGTAAATTACCAAATATAACGTGGTAAAGATTCAACTAAGCTCATGCCGGAGGCCCCAGGGGGACAGGCGTCTATGACGTCTCCTGGCCATTCCCCATTTGGCAGAGCCAGGAGGCTGACCCTGTACCATCGGGCTTTCTCCAGAAACATCAGGAAACCACTGCAAATGGTCAGGTGGAATGTTCGAACGCTCACTGCATACGAGAGGCTGCTATTCCTCTGTCGGGAACTGGACTGGTACCGCATAGACCTTTGTCCAATACAGGATGTCTGATGGACTTGTTCTCATGTGTATGTTTATAGGAGAGGCTGCCATTCCTCTGTCCGGAGCTGGACTGGTACCTCACAGACCTTAATCGAATATAGGAGGTCTAAATGACTTTTTCTGGTGTGTGTGTAGAGGAGAGGGTGGTATTCCTCTGTCGGGAGCTTGACAGGTACTGACTGGAACTCTGTGGAATACAGGAGGTCCGGTGGACTGGTTTTCATTCCAGTTGTTAGCGCACGGGGGTTGGCAGTCCTGCTCCACTCGGGGCAGGAAATTGGGAGAGAAAAAAAATCGAGGGAGGGTGGTGTGGGAGCGAGGAGGAGAGGTGTGAGAAGCTGCGAGTCTTGAGGCTTATTGTGGGCTTGCCTCCCTATCAACCGGAGATGAGGAATGGCGGTGGTGGTTTGCTTAAGCCCCACTCAAGATGAACATCAGTGGTGGGATTCAGGCAAGGCTTATGAGTCAGATGCCTTCTATGGCCTCCTGTCACAGGCGCTTGCAAAATTGACCCCTCGGGATATAGCCATCCTGTTGGGTGACTTTAATTCCCGAGTGGGGTCATGACGCAGGCACCTGGGATGGAGTGATTGGAAGGCATGGCCCAGTTCTTCTATACAGCCCGTGGGCTTGCGATTACCAACCACGGGTGTTCCGGCATCGGCGCATCATCCACACAACATCATGGATGCACGCCCCGGTGGTCCAAGCAAGCGCATCTGCTGGACTATATATCGTGATGGACGGGTCAAATATTGGGGTGACCCCACCTGACCGATTGCCGCACCACCCACTGAGCCGATAATGCCGTTTGGGGTGCCGCAGTGGCTAGGAAATATAAACTACCTCACCCGGTATATAGGAGGTCGTGTGTTTCATCCGGATCCTGTGCGTGTCTCTCAATCTCTCTCCCGTGGTCACGTTGATTTTTCTCGAGGCCCTCAGGGTCCCCCCCCCCCCCGACACATTTAAAATCGACGTCTCTACTCATTGAGAGTGATTTGGCTGGCTGCCAGAAGTTCCCACGCGATGACGATGATTAGCCACTTGGTTGAGTTGCTATCGTCTGCGATTGGCCAGATCGCTTCTGAAAAAGAGCCACGTAGCTCAATGGGGCCTCACCTGTTAAAATACAAAAAAAAACGGGGTTTACAAAAAAAACGTGGTTTACAAAAAAAACCGTGGTTTACAAAAAAACGTGGTTTACAAAAAAACGTGGTTTACAAAAAACCGTGGTTTAAAAAAAAAACCGTGGTTTACAAAAAAAACCGTGGTTTACAAAAAAACGTGGTTTACAAAAAAAAACGTGGTTTAAAAAAAAACATGGTTTACAAAAAAAACGTGGTTTACAAAAAAAACGTGGTTTACAAAAAAAACGTGGTTTACAAAAAAAACGTGATTTACAAAAAAACGTGGTTTACAAAAAAAACGTGGTTTACAAAAAAAACGTGGTTTACAAAAAAACATGGTTTACAAAAAAACATGGTTTACAAAAAAAACAACTTACGCCCACTAATCAGATGCCGGTGCCTCTCTATGAACGTTCTGTCCCTGGGTTCTGGCTGAAGTGACTTCTCTGGGGAGAATCGAGGAGTCATCCCCGTTGAGTCACCTTTTAACGACCCTCAGCCCAGAGAGCAATCCTCGAGGCGAGGTGCGGGGGGTGAGGGTGGTTGATCCTTGCCAGAACTTTGCTGCGCATCAAAGGTTGGAGAAAAGCAGCCGGCCACTCCTCCCTGTGGGTGCAATGGAGCCGTGCCGGCTGATGTGGAGGGATGCGTCGAAGTGTGATCCGGAGTCTAAAACCAATCTATAAACATGTTTTTTTTTCATTTCAAAACTTAACTTTGTTTTATTTTACCACGTAAGGCCCTCCACTGAGCTATATGGTTGCTATTTTCTTAAGAAGCGACCTGACTATCACAAATGATAGCCCAACGAAGTTGGCTCATCACCATCATCACGTGGATACTCGAAACGCGTGACGTTGATGCTAAATGTGGAGGGAAAACCCGGAGGACCCAGGAAAAAAAATCCACGCGACCACGGGGGGAGAGAGACACCACAAACTCCCCCAAATATACAGGTGCCAGGGCTGGGATCAAACCCACGACCTGTTGTATACCAGGCGAGGTAGTTAACCTTCTTGCGAGAGAGGCGTGGGTTAGAGCATGTGCATGTGGGGTGTGTTGGGCAGCGGTAGAGTAGCGGTTCTTTTTTTTCTCCATGTCTCTGATCCCAACCTCTACACGGGTTTTTTCCCCAACATTCTGCACAGGCCACCGCATCTGGTGTTGGCATCTGCCAAATCTTGAGGAGCGGTGGGGCAGAAGTTACCACCGCAGAGACCCGAGTTTGATTCCCGCTCACGGCCAACGGGGGGAGGGGGCGGTAGTGTAGTGGTTAGCGTGCTGCACTACCAACTCGACGATCCCAGTTCGATTCCCGCCCAATAATAATTAGAATAATTTTCATTTGGACCGATCTCAACCGGTCCTGGGCCTCCCCTCGGTCGACTCCGCCTCAAATGAGTACTTCGTGCGTCAAAACAGCCCTACTGGAGAAACAAAGGCGGCTGGGTGTAGTGTTGGTCACCCCCCCCCCCCCTCGTGTGCCGTACCAGCTTTCATAGGTGCTCGTTAACAGCACTTGCTCCAACAGTCTGTTACAGTCACAATATAGTTTTTTTTTGGGTTAGATCGCGTAAATATATAAATGTTGTGTCGTTAAACCCGCCAACACCCGACACAGCCAATTTGTAAGGTTTATTGTCACGTAAACAGAACGTGTGAATAATATTGGTCGCGAACGCCTGCTACGTGTTAAATCTCCATTTTCGTCTTCCTCTTCATCCTCTGTTCCCGATCCATCTCTCTCTGTATCTCTCTCCATGTCTCTCCCTTCCCATCCCTCACGCCCCTCTCGACCATTTATATATCTCTCTCTCCATCCCACTGTTATAAAACTACAAACTTTTTTTTATATTTTACCAGGTAAGGGCTCTGTAGTAGATCTTTTTCACAAGCGACCCGGCCATCGCAAACGATAGTCCAATGAAGTGGCTGATATCATCATCACGTGGAAATGTATATCAGCAGGCAAATAACTATCGAACGCGTGATTCTAAATGTGGAGGAGATAAACCGGAGGACTCGAAGAAAAATCCATGATGGGAAGGATCGAACCCACGACCTCCTGTATACCAGGCGAGGTAGTTAACATCTACACTTACCGCCATGCCCTGATCTCAACTCTCTCTCTATCTATCTGTATCTCTTTTTGTATTGCTGTATGTACCTCTAATCTGCATCTATCTCTGTATCTTTTTGTATCTCTCTATGTATCTCTCGGTATCTCTGTGTATATCTCTCTTTATATATCTTTGTATATATCTCTGTATCTCTCTCTGTATCTCTATGTGTGTATATCTCTCTGTATCTCTCTCTCTGTACCTCTCTCCCATGCATGTTGGGAGGAGGGTGTGTCTCTCCGTGCTCCTAGAGATTACCTGCCAGTGAGGGCCTAGTTTCCTAGCCTCGCTTGACGCAGTTTTTTGCACTTTTCAACGCCCTCTTTCAATCTCCGAGCACCACCGAGTGCTCAGCTTCTATCCTCAACCTCTGCGAGTGCCTCCAACAATACAGGATCATGCTGTCTCCCACCTCTGCATCTCTTTCTCCTCTCAACACA